AACGCAGAAGTCGTAAGTCGTCTTAGTGAACTTCTCGTTGCCTTGAGTACCCGGAACCAACTGCTCACGTACGAGAGGGACGTTGAAGAAGTCAGACACCTTCTTACCAAATTCATAAACTGTATGTTGAACACTGGCGAGGTTATAGAGACCAGGTTCCGGACGGTGCTCAATAAGAGCTTCAACAGCTCGGCAAAGATCTTCAAGAGCCAACACTGGTCGATGCACATGCTCCACAAAGATACCAACCTTCTTACGAGTGAGAGCGGAATATGCCATAGCATTCACCATAACGTCACTGCGAAGATTCAGCGACCATCCGCACACAGTTCCCATACGGACACCATAAATCTTGTCCTTAGAGCCTCTATGGCTGATATAATACTGGGCTACCAGATCCATAGACTTCTTGCAGATATCATAATAGTTATGGCCCTTGTATTCGCTGTACTCCTCATTGACCATACCAGTAGTGTCACCGTACACACTAGAACTACTTGCATAAATCACAACTTGACCTTCCGGACGCTTAGCACTTAGAAAGCGCGACAAGTTATAGACGCTATTCGAAATAGAACCAAAAGCATCCGAACAGGAGCGGACAGACGGATTGCCAGCCATAAGAATAGCAACATCTTTGTCTTGGTTCTGAGCTTCATAATCACAGTCATCCCTGCTCATATACAGTATCTCCTCAATGCCAGCCTCCTTCAGAGCAACCAAGATCTGCGAGTTGTCATGATCAACAACAGTAACATGACAACCAATATGATGCATATACAGGGCCAGACGACTTCCAATGAAGCCAGCACCACCATAGATGATAACTCTCAATCCCTTCGAGGGAGCAGGCTTAGAGAGAGCGGCCAGCATATCCGAGAGACCTCAGAAACCAATATTAAACTGAAAATGAACAAGTATCCGAACGTTACCATCTCATTCAAATGCATTGACAACTTAACGATAGCATTCAACTACATGCTGGTCAAACCCCACTGAGATTTCTGATATTACGGGAGTGTACGATGGCCATGGTGAAGGATGTTGCTTCAAGCGACACCATAATTGAACACTTCCCTCCCTACACGCACCGCGCTAGATTCATCGGCGCGCCAGGGTGACATGCACACAATGGCGACTCACGTGCTAGAAAAATTATCAAGAGTCTTGAGTTGCCACCTCAAAGTTTCAGCGCTTACTCACTTATATTCACTGGGAAGACACGATAAGGAAGGTGGTCGCGATAGTGACGCGAGTTAATAAACTTTTGTCTATTCGGGACTAGATTGGAAACGTGCTGCCCTGTTATGACGAAGAATGGAAGCGCGAGCATCATTTCGCTTTAGTACAAGGATCAATTTAATGGATCATCCGTCACGAAATTAAGACTTCTCAGTGATCTGAAGCGAAGTAATCCGTGAGAACCAGTCTATTTAACCGCTTGTGATATCCACGTAGTTCGTTACTCCGGGCATTTACTGAACACGAGGCGATTTGTCACAATCAACTAGCAGCTATACATCATGAGAACAACTTTGTATCGAAACCAGCATTCCATGCTTTGGTGGTGGTCTCGTAATCATTCTACTATCCATCCGGAAAAGGAAACTATTTACCGCAACGAAGATGAGGATATTCAGTTCAATGAAGCGCTGATATATGTAGATCCATGTGAATAACTGCGACCCGGGTAAGAATGAAGTGTGGCTGACGACACTGGGGTCGACAACGAGTGACCATCTACTGCTTCCAGTATGTCTCGGCTCTAGTCAAAGGCTTGTCTCCCAAGGTGTGAGCACAACCAATCTCGGGAATCTATCGTCGCTGCATACTGCCGATGGGAACTAGAGAAGACCTCTCTCTGTCGAGTCGGAACTCGACCACACAGGATCCTCGAACCCTCCTTGGGGTATCGCTTTCAGTAGCTGCGACAGATCCCATCAAGTTATCGAGACAATGAGTGAACGTTCTACCTGCGAATTTAGCAGCACATTCGCCTCGGAGTTCCGAGGGAACAAACCCACTGGCATCAGGAAAGAATCCCAATGTCGACTTATATCACCCAAAGACGACTAACCGATCTCCACGATACTGCGAATCACACGGACAGATGTGCAGGTTTCGGCATGAAGATGAGAATCTCCAAAGCAGCAAGAAAATGAGGCTGACTGTGCTATTGTGGCGTTTGAGTATTGTTCTGCTGTCTTTCTAGCGCGGGTTGCATGACGTATCACTAATACGGTATTAGTCGTTTCTGTATTACTGCACTTGTGATCTACTACGTTCGTTGACCGTCGTATTTCTCAAGTAGGACACCAAGTGATTAATAGGTGTTCTGTTGACTTGACGAAATCTGCACAGACTCACATCGAGAAGTGGAGCGAACGATCTCTTGGCAGGCCGGCCAAGTCTGTGTTAACTAGCAATCGACAAGAAGTTGTCACAATGTGTTGAGTTGCTGGATTGGGGAGATGTTGCCTTTCAACAACTCCGTGTAGGTTTTCATATTCCCTAGCTGTAGTCACGTGGGGCAGAGCTATGTGTGCTCGTAGCAGTTGATGACACCTTATCGAGAACCAAGGATTGCGCAGTAATAACGAGACTTCTCGCCTACTGTGGATGCCTAAGTACTGACCAATAACATACATTCGATCCAATAGAATGGCAGTCTACATCCCTTTCGATACGTTGTGGACGTTCAGGGGAAAACTCTAGGATGAACCACAGCTGGTATGCTCATGCTCGCTTGGCCGGTTCTAACAGCTACAATATCTGGCTCCGTGTGAATGGAGCTCTGAAAAACCAATCAGCTCCCCGACCCCCGACTAGTAGTCGGACATTTGTCACTATTTGAGGAAACAATTTGGACTCGCGGACCTGATAATGAGCAACACTAAGCAATCACGATGACTTTGACGAAAGCCCGTTCAACTATTCCTGGTCTGGTCAGGCTCGATGATGGATTATAAAAAAATCTTCTGGACCAGAATATCCACCAGAAGTTCTGGTGAATTGTGCAGCAGAAGTCAGTACTCTCAGGGAATGGTCGATTCCCTATCGGGACTCTCTCCTGGGGACCTGGAGTACGTACAGTGTGCGAGAGAGATTTATCAATGATGAATCGTAACACAGTCGCAAGACCACTACATCAGCAGATAGCTGACTCCTAT